GTTTATCCATATCTTTCAATTTAATTTCAAAAGGAAATAGTTTATATAAAATTGCAATCTTATAACGTAGAATTAAAGACACTTCTGAATCCATTAGAAAAAATTGCTTTAATGTTGAAAAACCGATCTAATTGATCATCTCGACATAAAGATATATGAATCTGAACAAAAAAAAAAATTGAATTTAAAAAGTAATGCATCTTGCAACACATTATATAGACGGTTCTATTTTTAAGATTTTCATATGTTTATAGATCCACTTGATTTAAGTTTCAAATTTTATAATTAGTTATGAAAATAAATTTTGAAATAATCTTAAAACGTTTACACCAAAATTAATGTAATGATAAATCTTGGAGGTGCACCTTAGATTGTTTAATATTACAACCACACCTTTTAAAAATTTGTTAAATTTATCAAATTATCAATTATAGACTAACAATGTGGTAGTTTATCCATGTCTTTCAATTTAATTTAAAAATACCCAAAAAAAAAACACCTGGTCTTGAAATAGTTCGAAAAAGATAAATTATTAAAGAGTAATGCAGGTATTTTTATAAATTTTGGTTAGAATTTTGAGAGAGAGACATACACGCCTTCGTACGAATGCAATCATGTCCCACAGGAGCATAATGTCTTTTGGTGTCTTTCAAATATATGTACTGATTTGAGATTCGGAAGTATTTTCGCATCTTTTATTTGTAATTTCTTTAGTTTTAATTTTGGGCAAGGTTTTTATGGGTCTGTTGACTCGTTTATTTATACGAGTCTTCTCTCTAAAAAACATTAGGGGTTGACACTCTACATAAAAATTAAATTTAAAAGTAAAAAATATATTCGATATAGACTGTTGATTTGGGATTTTGGTGCGACCACTGCCTTTTAACATGCATCTTGCCTTACAGGCATAAGGGGACACACCTTTATAATTGTATCCCCTAATATACATTACATTTTTTTTTAACTTTTCTTAAAATCACTTAAAAATAACATAGTACCATATTTATTTTGGTATGGAGAGGTCACAACTTTGCTCAAAGTTTACATCTTATAGACTTAGAGCTTGTCAATAAAACACTAACTACTGTCGAATTTTCACATTTATTTGTCAAATTTCACATCTAACGGCTAAAAGTAATTGAGATTTTCATATACCATAAGTAGTGAAAATATTTGCTGCTCCTAAAGCGCATATTGTCAATATGTTTAGGATACCAAATATTGGAGTGTAACCTCTTGAATCCAAGAACTAACCTCAAACGTAAATTTTCAAATTATGCGCTCCATGTGCTTGAAAATATATGTCCCGATGTTGAATATGGACCATCCAATTTTTGGAAGGTATGATCTAAGTGTTGAAGAACTCAAAATCTAATAATGGAGTTGAAGTCATGGGGTAGCACCAATTGAGCCTCAAACTACCAGTCTAGGTTTCCATTCCCTTTGATGCATTCGAAAACTGTTAATTATTTCTAAAAATAGATGAGCGTCAGTATTGCCCATTGATCTACCCAATAAAACAAAAAAAAAACTCAAAATTCAATTTGATATTTTTAAAAATAAGTCATCTACTAATAATTCCTAGGCACATCCCATAATATTTTATTAAAAAGAAAGTCCCCCAAATAACTCGTCCGTTTTTAAGGACACCAAAAGAAGTGTCATGCCATCGCCCACATACCTTTCCCATTCCTCTTCCCATCTTGGAGAGAGGAACGAAGAGCAGGCATAGGATGCTCCCGCATGAGTATACTGCTTGGGAGGATTGTCTAATGGAAAATTTTTGGAACGACCTAACTATCCCTAGATACTATTTCCAAAAAAAAAAAAGAAAAAAAAGAGATTCTAAAATCTTGAATATCTTGATTTTTCCCTCGAAAAAAATGAAAGACTCCTATTCAATATCGGGATGCCATATCTTTTTAGCCACATGGAGAGTGTGAGCTAAATGTTATTTTCTTTGAGGTTGGTAATGGGTTCTAGATATAAGTGTCCGAAATTTGGGATCTAACAAATATTCTAGCTTGGATTTTGCCCAATGGAGCAAATGGATTTTAAATTTTAATTATAATTCTAATATTTATAAAGCCATTCAAATCCCAGGCAAGAGTCAACGCCTAGAAATAACTTAAGCCCTGTCAATGGCAAGGCAAGACTTTACTGTGCCGTAAACTAAGCAATTTTATTATTAAAATTTTTAATGTAAGAAATTATAGGTTTACCATTAATGCGTTTAAAGGACAAGAGACTCATATGTAGAAATGATTCCCTTCTTATAACTCTACTTTTGAGATGGATTTAGGGCTTAAATTTTATGGAATATATAATGGGTGTGGTTTCCATACGGTTGTAACCATAAACAATCCCACTCCGGTGCACCTTCAAATTTTGTCGTAATATATAATTTTGATGTAAAATGTTGTTGAGATTTTCTCAAAATCCAGTTTTATATCTAATTATAAAAATTTTAATTTCAAAAATACTTAAAATCAAGTAAATCTATAAACATATGAAAATCATGAAAATGGATATTATAGATAATACGTTGTAAGATGCACTATTTTTTAGACTCAAAATCTTCTTAATTTTCATAGTCATACATCTCGATGTCGGGATGATTAATCACATGGTTTTTTAACATTAAAACAACCTTTCCAATGGATTTTTTAGGTGCATCATAGTTCTGCATTATAAGGCTGCAACCTTATGTAAACTTTTTCCATATATAATATGTATGGAGATCATGAACATATAAAGGGTGCGGTTTGTATAGAACCTATGCTCTAAATAATCAAATTGGAGCCTACCTTCAAATAGTGTCGAAAAATGTGGTTTCAACATTGAAAATCTTTATGATAGTCTTAAAATATATTTTCATCTTTATTTATAAAGTTTATTTAGCTTAAAAAATAGTGTAGGTGTAACAATCCTAAAATTTCAAAAAAAAAAAAAAAAAAGGGGGAAATGATGCTTTTAATAGGTGATGGTCTGATTGAGTATAATGGTCCTTGGGGACCATCACTATTTTCAAAACTTTTACTTCGGTTATTTTGCTTTGCTTGCTTTTGCCTCCTGCTGCTTGCAGCTGGCAACGTCCTTTAGCGGACGTGGTTTTCGTATGATAAAAAGCAGACTTTTAACGCGACACCTCAGGTATGAGGTAGAGCGTAATAAAATAATATAATAATACGTTATAAGAATTTAAATAGGGGATGTGAGCACTCCCACCCTAAAACAAAATTTTGAGATCTCTCTCTGGTCTAAACACAGTGAACTTCTCTCTCGAACCGAATTTTTTTTATTGGAAGCTCCCTCTCAAATAATTGTGGGTAAGTGACATCGTCTTTCTGAAAAATAGTCTATTTTGAATAAATAGTGATATTTCCGTCTAGGATCTTTATTTTATCAGTTTTGTGTGTAAGTGACCTCATTGTCTCGAAAAATAATCCATTATTTTTAAAAATAAAATGAAATAATTATTTCTGCTTATTATCATGAATTTTAGGCGCGATAAATTTTATGCACACGTGACCTCATTATCTTGAAAAATAATCTTTTTGATAAAAATTGTGATATTTTATCTATGTTAGAAATTTTGAATGCTGTAAATTAGAAAAATAAATTTATTTATTTTTCTTGTTTATTGTTAGAAATAAATGTGATATTTCTGCTTTTAGTAAAATTGTGATATTTCTTTTTTGAATATTTAGACATTGTAAAATTCATGTGCAAATGACTGCCTTATTATTTAAAAATTGACATTTTTGCAATTGATTATAGTATTGTTGTGAAATGTTTATTTGTAAATTGATATTCCATAAATTGTGATAATTCCGTATTCTTAAATTTTTATAAGAGTTTTCTATACATATTAAATTGGCAATTATGCTAGAATGCCTTTACAAACTGCTACCTTTCTAAATTTGAGCCCAAAATATTTGATTGGTTATTTTTGAAATATTATAGAGAATGACTGTTATTAATGGTTTAAGTGAATTCATATTAATGGTTTCAGTGATATGTTGAGTACATGATATTGCTGCTTTCGAATGTTTAAAGAGATTTAGAAATAATTTAAGTATGCAAGTGGACTCATCCGGTTCGCCGGTGAGGTATAAGTGGACCTATCCGAGATGCCGGTAGGGATTAAGTGGACTCATCTGGTACGCCGGTGAAGTATAAGTGGACCTGCAGGGATTAAGTGGACCTATCTGGGACGCCGATAGGGATTAAGTGGACCTATCAGGACGCTGATGGGGTATATAGG